TACCTCTGTCCTGGCCTTCTCCATACATGTTGATGGCACTTTGAATCAAAATGTTCAAATTTGGATTAATCACTCAGTAAAACCTTTTGCCTCTTGTTTTGTGACAGGCTGCAAGTAAAAGAATGCCTAAAGATAGATTTTGAAATTGATTCTTCGCCAACTTGCTTGCAGACGGAATACTGTTTTTTTTCCTTGAGTGAGGTACCTTTTTATGCTTGAATGACTCAGCAGTCAGCATTAAGTGGTTTGGCAAACAAGGGAATAAAAAAGAAAAAAAATCAAGAAAAAAAGGTCAGGTACAAGACTGGACTGACAATGGGTGAAAAAACACCCAGTATCCAAAGAAAAGCACTGCAAGACCTTCACTATTTCTCAAGACCACTTTAAAAAAAATTCTAATAAAATAAGAAATCAGCGGTAGCTCAGTAGTTTTGCACTGTAAACGGAGACCCCGAACTTTCTTCTTGGTTCTCGTGACATCACAAATTCCTGATGTAGTTTGAACTTCCCTAGTGTGTTCAACTCATTGGATTTGTGCTGATGTAGAAATAGTACAGGTAATATTCCCACTGAATTCCCAACAAGTAAGAAGTTCTCACCTGTTCTGCGTCATGCACACTCTAATCTGAAATAAGAAAGCAGCTAATGCCAACTACTTCCTGCTGCGAAACAGATTCTGGCCCTTTGTGATTTAGTCAGAGAATGGAAGCTGTCGATTGATGTTCATCATTTTTCATGTACATGGATATACAGTTGTCATACAGTCTGAGGCCAGTTTGTCCATTACACACAAGTCTAAATGCACTAGTACACAAAGACTGCTTTCGTGACTAATTCAGGTTTCACCATGAGATGAGATGGCTTGATTACGTGGTGAGTCTCAGAGAGTAGTGTAAGATTCTTGCTAATTTAGATGCTGTTTCATCACCCTGTAAATAGAATTTGTGATGACTTTGCTGAGACCCGTGAGAAATCTTTCCTGATGGTAGAAATAGATGATGACTGTGAATGAAGTATTACAGTCTGACTTCTAGTTTTCTTTTGCTAAATAAGTTTGAGAATACTCTGTCCCTTGTTACTTACCAGAGCCCAAGTTGCTCATTTTGTCAGGCATATGCTAAGCCAAAACTCAGATACCGAAGTTACTTATTCACTACATATTTTCTGGGGCCAAAGGACATCCGGGATGTGTATTAAGGTTCTGACATCTGCAGTGACAAAGTTGCCTTGTCTAGTTTTGTATAAAGCTAGAGGTACAATTTATTGACTGCTTTTCAGAGGGATAACTGTAAGATCGGAACTGCATTTGAGATTGCCAGTGAGTTGTATTGTAGATAAAATTAGCACATTTAATTCAATGGGGCAGTGATTCAAGGCTTAAAAGGCTTGGTTTGGTTTATCTCACTAGCTATAAGAGACACAATGATTACAGTAAGTGTATTAAAAGGAGCAGTAATAGCTGTAGGTGTTCCAGCTCTGATGTCTTGATAACGTTGGTGATGACTGGCTGTGAAGTGGCTGAGGCTGACCGACAGTCTGAGTTGATTTCCTGCATTTCCTATCGGTGGCCATCACTCCAGCTATCAGAGCCTGCCCTCTCTGGTTTAACTGATGCAGCCCTCAAGCCGGAGGAGCTCCTGTCTCAAGTTGTTTGAGCAGGGACCCACAGAAGAGGTCAAATGGATAATACTTGGACATACACACATGCAGTAATATCATTTTTGAGTTGCTATTTCATATATACTAAAATATTGTTCCTTCGTGAGTTACAATACCCAACTGTCATTTCGGGTAAAGTGTACAGTACGGTACAAGAGTAAGGTTTATTTTATAGGCAAGGTCTAAAACATGGCATATCATGTCTTATTTAATCTGACTGTGCTGCTGCAACATTCCCTCTGTCATCTTCTCTCCTCCCCTCCCATCTCCTTGTTTCTTTCTCTCTGTCTGCGCTTGGACAGAGGTGGCTTGTCTGCTGCATGGCTTAGCATACAGCCTGTGATCTTTTATGAATTTAGCATAAACCCTGCTGCTAAGCCAGGCGAAGACATTCACAAGAGAGGTTCACAGAAGAATATCAGTGCACTTGGCAAAATGTGAAATGAGGTGTTTTGTGGTTTGTTTGTTTGTTTTTTGCTTTTCCAGACTACTTGTTCTGGTCTTGTGTCCCTACATTAAATAGTTCCTTGCTCCCCAAGTGTCCTCTGTTTACATGAGTGCCCAGGACAACCCAGCCATAATAGGATTGGCATTCCAGCAGAGCTTTATTGGAGCTCAGAGACAACACATTAGAAGTTAGAGTTATGTCAGCACGTGTCGTCTTCCAGAATTACATCCCATGCAATTTTAAGCAGGAAGTTATTGCGAAAATATTGCAAAAAAATATTCTTTACAGTTTTTTGTGTATCACAATCATATTAGAGATGTAATGAAGGTAAATGACATATTTAAGAAGCTGAGGATCTTTGGAAAACGTGCTAGCTAAGTAGGAAGGGGGGGTGAGGAGGGAGCTTTTTTGCAATAGGACAGTGGAGAGAAGACAGGAAAGCTGGGGGAAAGATATGTAGTAAATAGGGCTGGGCGATATATCGAGTTTTTTAAAAATATCGATATATTTTCATACGAGATATAAGATGTGACAATATCGTTTATATCGATATAGTCTATGTTACGTTATAATTATACTTGTGGAGCCGCAGGTTTGCCTCTCTTTCGTCCACTTTTGTCTCTACGCAACGTTACTCGGCCTCGCCTCTCCTTCACTGAACACAAGTCCCCCTCCCCCATAGCTTCACCTGCAGGCAATGACAAGATGAAAGAGGAAAATCTCTGTTAGCGAGTTACCGTGCGTGGGGCTGGACGGCGTCAACGTGTTAGCGAGCTAACCGCGCTAACGACATGCAGCCCGGAGGGGCTGCACGGCCTAAAATCCTTTCATTTTCTCAAAAATCGCGCCTTATGTATGAATTCTGGTTGTGCTTACTGACCGCGAACCGATTTTATGTGGTACACAGCGCTCAGCAATCTGTCAAAAAATGTTTTAGTATGACTTTGCTAAGCTACGGAGCTGCACCGCTTGATGGATTGTCGGAGGATTACGGCTACCGGGGAGGAGCCTCACGGAGTGATACGTACTGTGTGTGTATAAGGACCACAAATGGCACCTGTTCAGAGACGTGGTGCAGCTGTGAAATCTGTCTCTTTGTTATTATGCTCAGCGTCTATTAGTTTACATTTTGACTGCACAATTGTGAGCTTTTTGTTATGCACAAAAACAACATTGTTTTCTTTTATTTATGGACCATGATTATTTAACCCTTGTATGGTGTTTGGGTCTGTGAGACCCGTGTTCAGTTTTTTTCAAAAGAAAAATTAAACAATTAATTATTTTTTCACGTGTAAATGTGTTGTGTCTTTCCACTCACTCCACTTGATTATAACTGATTTATTTATAACATTTTATATAAAAGAAAAACGAGAAGCACATTAATTCATAAATGTGATCTAACAAAGGTAAAGGGAAAAAATTAACCATGTTTGCTGTTCATATGTCTTGTAATTGGGATGAAGTAAACATCTGTTGAGTAATTTAACATAAAATTGTTTGATAGTGTTAATTTGGAAAGCCAAAACTCTAGCGGGTCCACCAGACCCATGAACACTGGCTGAGTAACAAAAATACGAACACCACACAAGGGTTAATAAATGCTGATAATTTATTTTTGAGTAATTTCTTCATGTACATCTACGCTGTATGTAAATAAAAGTGCCCGTGTGACATCTGGGACACAGTGTGACTAGGAACTCTCTTTTTGTTCTTAACTTATGGCTTTAAAAAAAAAATCGAGATATATATCTTATATCGCCATCCAGCTAAAAAATATCGAGATATGAATTTTGGGTCATATCGCCCAGCCCCAGTAGTAAATAGTAACAGGGTGGATTCAAACTTGGACCTCCATGTTAGGTAACTGGTAAACTAAACCAGTACCCCTGAAATTGCTAATGTTTGAAGTGTTTAATTAACATTTTGCTGATGACAACAGATGCAAAAATTCTGCTGATACAGATGCACTGTTTATGTTCATATATACTTGTACACATACACAGCAAAACCTATAATAATGCAGTCTCTGTGCTTAGTTTGCCTCATAAATGTCTGCATCGGCCACCCAACCCTTTCTGACATGCCTTGGTAAACCCCTGGTCCCATTACTATGCATTATGCATGGACCTATCTCTTAAGTCCCACAAAAGTAAAAGCTCCCCTTGAAAATAGAAGTTATACTGTCACAGGGTAACTTGTCACAGTGACATTTTAAATGTGCAGAAACATTTTGTTTCACAGTGTTAGAATTATAATGATAAAAAGAGCATCTTTTGGGCAGAGTCTCACCAACCTGCAAAACAGTTTCTAAATTGTAGAACAATTAATAATAAGGATACTGTTCCTCAAAATTGTAAAGACTTTGAATAGCTTACAGTATACAAATCTATGTGGGCAAGGAACAAGGCACAACATTAAAAACAAGCCTGACTCTGTCATGGAAATCCCTGCATGGGCTCAGGAACACATCCAGAAATCTCCGTCTGAGAACGTGGTTCACTGTGTCATCCGCAACTGTAGGTTAAAGCTCTGTCATGCAAAAAAGAAGCCATATGTGAGCATGATCCAGAAACACTACTGTCTTCTCTGTGCCAGAACTCATTTAAAATGAACTGATGTAAAATGGAAAAATATTCTGTGGTCAGGTCAGATTAATCGAATTTTAAAAGTCTCTTTGGACGCTGTGTTCTCTAAGAGGACTAAAGAGGACAGATCAGTTCTCAAGCTTGCATCTGATGCCAGCCATCAATGCTGAAAGGTATATATATTGGTTTTAGAGCCGCATATTGTCTCTTCCCTCACAAGAAGAGGGGATGCTACACAGTTGGACTTTGGGTTGTAAAAACATTCAGGCAAAATTACTAACAGTGTTTTTTTGATGTTTGTCTTACAGAAAGAATGGCTTTGCCTCACCTGTCAAACTCAAAGAGCGATGTCAGGCCAGCTGGGAGATGTTTCACCATCATCCATGGCTTCCCCGAAGAAGCAGCCTCCTGGTCCTGTTCCCTCCTCCACACCTCCCCCTGCTGCTGTAGATAGCAAACCTGTAGTAGAACCAGCAGAGCCAACCCCACCAGCTTCTGAGACCAAGGTAGTGCCCACAACCCCCTCTGAATCAACACCTGATAGTGCACTAATTTCACCTAATCATAGTATTCCTCCTCCTGAAAACAGTTCACAATCAAAAGAACAAAACCAAACACTAGCAAATGAGAATATTATTCTTTCTGAGAAAGACGTTCCTGTAGTAGAACCAGCAAACCTAACCCCACAAGCTTCTGAAACCAAAGTAGTGACCACAACCCCTACTGACTCCATGCCTGAGAGTGCACTGATTTCGCCTAATCATAGTATTCCTTCTCCTGAGAATGGTTTACACTCAAAAGAACAAAATCAAACACTAGCAGATGAGCATACTATTCACCCTGAGAAAGAGGTTCCAGTAGTAGAACCAGCAAACCTAACCCCACCAACTTCTGAGACCAAATTAGCACCCCCTGAGGCTGAGCTTGATAGTGCGGTAATTTCACCTAATCATAGCACTCCTCCTCCTGAGAACAGTTCGCATGACCCACCACAGACAACAGAACAACAAGAAGAAGATGAGAATGCCATCTACCCTGAGAAAGAAGTTCCTGTTTCAGAGAGTTTAGCTGATAGTACCCATGTAGCCCCACCAGCTGAGGAACAGCAAAACAGCTCTGAGAGAATAGCAGAGGATCCCCCTCAGCCAGGGAAAGAGCCATTTGATTCTGATCAACAAACTGTCAGTGAACTCCCAGCAGCTGAGCAACAACAGAGTAGCTCTGAGAAAGAATCAGAGGACCATCCTCATCCCTGTACAGAGATAGCTAATGATGAGCAACAAGCACAGAGTGCAACTGTCAGTGAAATCCCAGCAGTTGTGCAACATCAGAGTAGTTCTGAGAAACCCACAGAGGACCTTTCTCTCCCTGTGGAAGGTGAGACACAAAATCCATTGAGTAATGCAGGTTTAGACAAGACAACAGACCCTGCTGGGGCAGAAACTGAGCCAAATCCCGAGATTACGCAAAGTGAGGCTGCCGCTCCCCTGGCAGATAGTAAGAAAGTGGAACCCAGTCAAGAAAAGCATCCAGAAGTGACAACAAATGCAGCTGAGCCAAAGCCTGCTTTGATCCCTGAAGCAGTTAGACAGGAAACAGCTCCTGCTCAACCTGATACTACAGCTGCAAGTGTGAAAGAGGAGAAAACAACAGAGGTTTTAGCCGAGAAACCCCTGATAGGTGAACCACAAGTTACTCCAGCAGATCACACTCCACCTGACAGTGGAACAACACCTAATGTCAAGAGTGATGTTAGTGCAGAAGTAGAACCGAAAAACTCTGCGTCCCCTGTTGAACAAGTTGATGTCCCTGAACCTGATAAAGCTGATGAAGAATTAAAACAAAAACAGGCAGCAAGTGCAGAACCTGAAATTTCTTCTGCAGTATCAGAAAACCATCCTGTCTCAGCTTCAGAGGGAAAAGGTCAGGCAAACGAAGTGAAAAATGAACAGTCAGAAAAAGATCAGGAGCCCACATTACTTGATCTGGCAAATAAATCCTCTCCTGTTGCTCAGTTTGAAGGAGAAACGAAAGCTGTGGAGAAATCAAATGAGGAGAACATCGCTGAAAATAAAGTTTCTCAGGAACTTAATAATGAGGTAGACACAACAGCGCAGAAAGCACCTGAGGGAGCTGATGAGGGAACAGTTGAGATTAAAACAAATGCATGTGTACCGATAACTACTGAGGTAAAACCTGATGACGAGGAAGCTGCTGAAGAAAAAGAAAATGAGGAGAATACAGTTCATAATGAAACTAACCAGAAACCTCTGGAACAGAATGTTACTAATACAGAAAATTCGTCTCCTCTTCTCGACAAGAAGGAATCTGCAACGGGATTAGAGCCGGCTGCAACTGTTCCAGAGGAAATGCCAAAAGAAGAAATAGATATACAGAACAAGATAAAAGCAGGAACAAAGAATGAGCCAGCTGAGGAGAGCATTATTGAAACAGCATGCTGTTTGTCAGAGAAGTCACAGGAGAAAGGAAAGACTGTGGTCGAAGAAGAGTGCACACCCGAAGCCACGGTGTTAAAATCAGATAATAAATCTGACAATGCAACGGTTATCTCTGTTCCACCACCCCCTGACTTCGAAGAGCCACAAATGGTCAATGAGGTGCCAGTGCAAAGTGTAGACAGCGCGTTATCCTCAGCTGTTACCAGTAAGACAAATGTCAGCGATCAAGCCAGTGAGGGGAACCTTTTCCAAGATGAGTCAGAGATGGGCTCACAAAAGACAAAGAGTATTGCTGAAAATCAACACGAAGCAGAGGAAGATACATCAGCTGTGACAGGCGGCGATGAGCAATTGTCAATCAAAGAGAAGAACGAAGCAGAATGTGACAAAAAAGACGATGAGTCACAACCTGTTGCTGGCAACATGCAGACAACTATTTCAGTATCAGAGGCAAACGCAGTGTGCGACAAAGAAGGCACTGCAGAGTTTGATGTAGGCGAGGATGCAATATCAAAGAAGGATGAAGTATCAGAGACAGCTTTTGAAAATGGAGGTGTGCCTCTACCAGTATCTTCAGCTCCTGTCACAGAACCTGAAATCCCAGTTTCTGTAGTAAGTGAGCAGGACAGCAACCCGAAGGAGGAAAACACTAACGTGGAGGAGGAAAAGGAGCCCCTTGAAAAACTCAATGATGAAGCCGAACTTTCTGAGGTGACCATAGTATTTAGCAGATGTAGAGGTAGATTAGAAAAAATGATCTTTCAGAACTGCTTGACCATTGCAAAAACAAAAAAACTTAAATAACTTAAATACAAAACAAGAATTTACAGTTGGAGGAAATGAAAAATTGTTCATTCCAGATGGGTTTTACTAGAGGTTGAATGAAGTATTGGTAGAACAATATATCCTACTGCTTCACCTTGCAATAAAATTATTGATAATCTTGGACCAACTATTAATATTTCTTTAAAAACATGCTGCTACACTAAATAGATTCCTCCTCAGCTAATTTGATGTATCAGAGTTGCTTTTAATGACTTCTTGTTGTGCCAAATGAATGACAGATAGTGAAAGCAATATTACTCACATGTTAAAATAGAAGAAGCACAAATGAGGGAAATACAGTAGTAGACACTTCCAAAGAGCTAGTTAAATGAGCTGACATGTTATTACACACACATTGAAACACAATGAGTCATTACATTACAATACCATGATTATCTACTTCAAGTACACAAAGATATTAATTATAATAAAAATGGTCACTTAATTTTGTGCCAAATTAAACAATGTATGTCTAAATTGTTAAATATACAGTTTAATGTTTGGATTACTCATTAAGCATATGACATTCCTGAAAAGTGGAATAGTAAGAGCTGGATAATAGTTCAAGGTTTTGCTCTCATATGGTCATTGTCGAAAATACCCCACACTAGTCATTCCTATTAACTCCTGAAATATATTTTAAATCTTCATTTTTCATTCCTGTCATTCCTAAATTCATATGAACTTGCATGTTGTGCTTATTTAAAACAACTGTCTTCGTAATTGTCAGAAATTAAGCATATATACTGAAAAAGTTTGTTTTTTTTATTCATCAGGTGAAAACAGTGGAGACCTTGAAAGAGCCTGGAATTAAAGAAGCAGCTGTCAAGGAAGGCAGCCCAACCAGCCCATCAGACCTAGCAAAGCTAGAAAGCACTGTCCTGCCCATCCTTGAGGCCCAGGCAACCACACAAGAAGAGGAGAAAAAAACAGACACTCTAAAGGCCAGGCGTAAATTAGAAGTGCTTCCTCTCTCACCTGACTCTCCTAGCTCAGAAGAGGACAGAGTGGTTTCTGATAAGAACGGCAATGGTACCACAAAGAAAAAGCTCCTTGTGCCCATGGATGTCAAGGCAGATTCCCTGGACGATAGCAGTGAAAGCTTTGGAAAAGAAAGCCCTATGTCAGGAGATGATGAAGAATTTATCCGAAAACAGATAATGGAAATGAGTGAGAATGAAGATGCTTCACAATCTGATGAGGAAAACCTAGTTCGGCGAAAGATCAGAGAGGACGAGAAGAAACAAAAGGAACAAAAGAAAACAGAAACTGTAGAGAAGGGCACGACAGGGAAAGTCAGACGGCTTACCAAGAAAAGCACCATAAGCCCAGATGATGAAGATAAGGAATTTGGTACTTTAGTGGATAAACCTGATATAAACAAAGATATGGAAGCAGAAACAAAAGAAGGGAAGCAACAAAGTGGTACTGCAGTTCGCAAATTCCAAACTATGGAGCTGAATACAACTAGCAGCCCTGTGTCTATACCCAATGATGATGGAGAGCCTGAAATGGAAAGCCTGACAGATTCTCCAGATGATCGGTCTAGAGGTGAGGGGTCTTCCAGTCTACATGCGTCCAGCTTCACTCCTGGAACTTCCCCAACATCCCTCTCATCACTAGATGAAGACAGTGATAGCAGTAGTCCGAGCCATATCCGCAGTGGTGAAGGTAAACAGCACAGGAAAGCCAAACACAGACAACCTGGTCAAATGCTGCCAACTATCGAAGACTCTTCTGAGGAAGAAGAGTTACGGGAAGAGGAGGAGCTGCTCAGGGAGCAAGAAAAACAGAAGGGCTCAGGGAAAAAATCCAAAAAAGATAAAGATGAGATTCGAGCCCAGAGGAGGCGAGAGCATCAAAAGACACCGCCAAGCAACCTTTCCCCTATTGAAGATGCCTCACCAACTGAAGAGCAGAGGCAGGAAGCTGAAATGGAGGAGATTAGACGATCATCTTGCTCAGACTTTTCACCCAGTATTGAATCAGATCCTGAAGGATTGGAAATCCATGCTGCAAAGATTGCGGCAGTCCAGAAAACCTATCAGCTGCCCATGTCTGTATCTCTTCACTCCCCAACAGATGATCAAAATATTGATAAACCACAGAAAAAACCTCTCAGATCTGCTGATGAAGCCTATGAGGAGATAATGCTGAGGGCCAAGTCTCCAACAGCTGACAAAGGTGAAATTCAGCCAGAAAAAGAGTCCCTATATGGAGGCATGCTCATCGAAGATTATGCATATGCATCTCTTATTGACAATTCGACAGCTGATCTCGAGGACACAGAGAAGATTACTGTTCCCACTCAGCCCAAAAAGCTGCGATCGCCAGATGAAGTTTATGAAGACATGATAAAGAAAAGAAAGGAATTCATGCAGCTGGAGCAGGAATACCAAAATATGCAGGCAAAAAAGGAAAGCACTAACCCAGAAATTGTGCTACAACCTGCTGATATTACTGTTTCCAAAAGCAGTACAATAACATTAGACATGGATGGGAAGCCATTGTTGGATGCTGAAACTGCCTATGAAGAGCTAATGAAAAGAGTCCTGACTCCTGGAACAAGTCCAACTCAGCATGAGCCAAAAGTAGAAGCCACTGCATCTAGAAAGGCACTCCACCCTATTCCAGACTTAAAAGTAACGCAGTGCTCTTCAGGAGAGTTATCTTCTGATGATGAAATTATACCTAAAAAGGAAGTGGAGAAAAATCCTGTATCAGATGTCTCATCAGCAATGGAAACTGAGCCTGTGAAAGAAACGTTTCCATCACCCACATCAGATCAGCAACCTGAAACCACAATCAAAGCAACCCAAGGTGATATTGTGGACTTGACTAGTGCATCTACAAAAACATCAGCTCCTGTGATTGCCAGTGTATCACCCTTGCCTACAGTCCCCCAGTATACACCTGGCATACCAAGTGTAGTATCAACTGCCCCACCTGTGCCCCCGAAGCCAACTGTCCTGCGTAGGGCTAATTCTCAGGAAAAAACAGAAGAACCTGTTGCACCGCCGCTCCCTCCTCCTACTCCTCCAAAACCTACTGTTTTTCCCAGGAAAGCTCCAGTTCCACTTCCACCTCAGGCTTCAGCAGCTCCAGTAAGGCAAGAGACAGTGACTATGACTACAGCTCAAGCATCACCTACAAGACAAGTAGTTACTCCAACATACAAACCTCATGTTCCCCCTCCTGTACCCCCAAAGCCATCCATCCCCGTTGGAATTGGGGATAGCCACAAACCAGGACATGGTGTTAAACCACCAATTGCACCAAAGCCTGGCTCACAGCCTTCATCACCTGCCCATGCCCCACATCCACAAAGACCCTCTGTACTTCCCACAGGTCCTAGTGACATAGCCCTTAATCTAAGCCCCACTTCTGAAAGCAAAATGTTTCAACCATCACCAAAGTCTCCTTCTTCTCCAAGATATGCCAGCAATCTTCGTGACACATATGTGGTCATCACTCTGCCATCTCAGCCTAGCTCTCCTGTAGATAGTGTTACCACTCATGCTCCCTCTAGCCCTGGTCCAGCATCTCCTTCATGGCAAGCTCAGCCTGAGACATACCACCATCAGCAGCCTCAACCTCAACCATATTCACAGCAGCAGCAGCAGCAACAAACACCTCCTCAAACAACCAGGGTGCCTCTGGCATATACACGAGTCACAGAATCCATTGAAAGTCAAGAAATTTGTGGGCCTGAAAAACATGTATCTAGCTCTTGTCATATAATTGAGGCTATATCAGCCTCAGCACAGCCACCTGTGGTGATGCCCAACCTCATCTCTCAAGTGGTTACCACAGAAGTCCAAAGGACCACTGTCTCTGTTGTTCATGAAAGGACACCACCACCAGTGCCAGCTCCAAGGGCAAATGGTCTCCCAATATCAATGCAGAAGCCTATGCCCCAGTTGCCAGCACAGAATGGACAGGCTATTCAACCTTCTGAGGTGGTAGATCTTAGGACTATGAAAGTGGATCCAGAATCAACCACACGTGGTGTGGATCTGTCTGCTGGTCCAGACTCAAGACATCAGTCCCTTACGACTGATGTCAGTCGTCACAGCAGTGCAGTGCAGTCCCCTGTGGTCAACCTCAGTGCTGAATCATCTACAGTTTCTATAGTAACTGATAGCATTACCATCGTGACCTGTGCTGCCACAATCCAGCGACGCGACAACTTGGACACCTCTTTGACCTCTTCAGTACCCCTTCAGCTAACAAAAAACAAATCATTTGAACCCGTTTCTCAAATTATTTATCGACCAATTGATTCTCAGCCGTCTACTCATGCTACTGCTGAGATCCCTATTAATCTCTCAGTTGGATCTAGTACGAGTGGAGGAACACTCCAGGCCACCCCTGTAACAATTGCACCCGCTTCTGTTGCAAGTTGTATTGCTAATGGATTAACTAATGGCACAACCACAGTGTCAGGAGCTGTTGACCTTAGCACAAATAAACCATTCAACACTGTGGTTTCAGTGGATACTGCGTCTACCGAAGTGGTTACAGCTGTAATCACAGACGATGGCAAACCAGTGGATCTGACTGCAGGGAAAAGAGCTGTATGTTGTGATGTTGTGTACAAGCTTCCATTTGCAGGAAGTTGTGCAACTCACCAACCTACCACACCCTTGCCTGAAGATCGCTTTGGATATCGTGACGACCACTATCAGTATGACAGGTCGCCTTATGGCATGAGAGGGTTTGGTGGAATTAAACCTTCTATGTCAGATACTAACCTAGCAGAGGCTGGTCTCTTCATTTACAAGAGTAAAAACAGCTATAATTTCAGTGGCACAACTGAAGGTGCAGTAGATCTTACCTCAGCAAAGATTTCTGATGCAGGTCAGTGCAGTGACATTGCAGACCTGTCACTTAAATGTCACTTTGAACTGCTTCCACTTATTCATGGCTAATGTGGAAATAATGGCTACTTTTTGTTTTTATTTTGTTTTGCATGGACATTTTTTCTTTTTTTTTTTAATCATTTTTTTTGTTTTACCATTATATTTTTTGCATGTACCTGCATGCTGTTACTTTGTTGAACCTCATTGGAGTTTTTTTTGGTCTTCCACCTTTTTTCATTATTTGAACAAGGCATGGCTTGCTGCAACAATTAATAATTCTGTAATACTGGGACTGAAATGATATCTTTGACTTTTGACAGGTGAAGCTGTTGACTACTCCAAGAAAGGAACTTACGCTGGAATGACAATTCCTCCCTATTCTCAAGATAGAGTCACAAGTGCTGTTGGCACACTCTTTGGTACAAGCAGTGTTTTGAGATCATCAAATGGAGTGGTTTATTCCTCTGTTGCAGCCCCAGTCCCATCTACATATGCCATTACCACCCAGCCAGGGTCCATATTTAGTACAGCATACAACACCTTGTCAGGTATGCATACCAGCGACACCATGCCTTCTCTTTCCAACCTCCAGAACCTACCACTTACTCGATCCCACAGTTTTCTATCCACCATCTCTACTACTGCAGCAGAAGAACAAGCAGATGCTCCACTCAATCTAGAGATATCTAGAGGAGGCACTACTGCTGGTGATGCTGCAACTACTGCAGCAACTTCTTTATCTCTTGACACCTATACTGATGCATCTCTGGAGGCTATAGCTGCTTCACTGGAAGCGCTTTCTTCACCCATGGTTCCTGGAGACAGCCAGTATCAGGCAGAGCGCGAGAGACTAGAAATGGAAAAACTCAAGCAACAGCGCCTGGCTGAGGAATTAGAATGGGAACGGCAGGAAATTCAGCGGTTCCGAGAACACGAACAACTCATGGTGCAAAAGGAACTGGAGGAGCTGCAGGCCATGAAACAGCAGATACTTGCCCAGCAAGAAGAGGAAAGACAGGCTCACCTTATAATGCAGAAAGAAACTTATGCTCAGCAGCAGCAGCAGCTTGAGCAGATTCAGAGACTCCAAGAGCAGCTCCGTCTTCAACTGGAAGAGCAAAAGCTTCGTCAGATGTACCCAGGTGGGGACATACAAGAGGCAGTTGTCTTAGGACCTGATGGCACTGTACTGGCCCGAAAGATCACAGATAGTGGGTGCCAGACAGATGAAGAGGATGAAGCAGTCAGCAAAGCTTACACAGCAGGTAGAAAAAAGAGAACTGCTAAAAAGAGCGTTGACAGTTGTGTGCAGACTGATGATGAGGATCAAGATGAATGGGAGGCTCAGAACAGAAGCAGACAAAGCCGTCCACGTACTGCCAGAGGTGATAGGGGTGGGCAGTCTGAGATGTCTCTTCAAGCCCACACTGAGATTTCTATACAAACTGATACAGATGGGAACATTAGAATGGATACCAGAATGGAGCTTTCAGATTCTGAAAGGACCTCACCAAAGAAACGACCTACCCCCTTAGAAATAGGGCAGTCTGCTAACCTCAAAGCTGATTCTTCTACTCTTCAGGCCCCTCCTAAATCCCCCAAAGTGCTCTATTCCCCTGTATCCCCTTGTATCTCACCAAGCAAATCCCTTGAGTTTGTGTCTTATGATAAATCCCTTGGTGATACAAGCCCACAAAACCTAAGAGGAAGTCCTGATCCATCAAAAGCCTCTCCAGCAAGTCCCAGAGGACAGAAATCCATGCAGAGATCTATGTCTGATCCTAAGCCCATGAGTCCAACAGGAGAAGAAAGAGCAACATCTGGAACCCAGTATGGTGAAGGCTATACTGTAAGTACTACCATCGTAATTGACATAAATCCAGGAAGCAAAACCACAAGCCAAAATTATGAATTTATTTTAACTTTCAGATGGTGTGATCTGTGTTTAAACTTTTCTTTTGGTTGATTAAGTTTGACATTTCTGGAGAGTTATCTTCAGCTTAATCCCATTTCTAGGTAAAATATCATGGAGTATTGTAGTCAGTTTTCTGCCTGGGCAATTCACCACTGAGAATCTCATACATACATAAACAGTTGGAAATAAGCTGAGGTTGCAGGAAACACTAAGCTGTCAGAGATCCATCAAGGGTTTGTGAATAAATTATTTCTTGTGCAACAGTAGTGTGGAATATTTATGGGCAGAAATACATATGTTACTGTTACCTAGAAAAAAGATAATCAACAATTTGTCTTTCAATCACTCTACTACAATACATCCTTATAGAGGAAGACTATCAAACAACTTAAATTTATACAGTTTGCTCTGTTTTAATTACTCATAAAATGCAGCAGTTATCACTAATTAATTTATCTGAGTAACATATTGTTTATGAAGCTGAAGGCTCCTTAAACAATTATTTTGGGAACTAAACTACTTTTACAACACTTTTTTTCCTACAGGGCATAGGCTCAGGTGGTACACCAACAGGGACTCAAAAGAAGGTGAAGAGGACTCTCCCAAATCCTCCATCAGAGGATGAGTCAACAACCACTGGACAGACAGCATATAGCACTGGCTCAGCCCGTCGAAGAATGTGCCGTAATTCCAACATGGCACGCGCCAAGATCCTACAAGACATTGATCGAGAGCTAGATCTGGTGGAGCGCGAGTCTTCCAAGCTCCGCAAAAGACAAGCAGAATTAGATGAGGAGGAGAAAGAGATAGATGCAAAGCTAAGATACTTGGAGATGGGCATTAATCGTAGAAAGGACGCACTGCTTAAAGAAAGAGAGAAGAGGGAAAGGGCCTACTTGCAGAGTGTTGCAGAGGACAGAGACTACATGTCAGACAGTGAGGTTAGCAACATCCGAGAGACTAGAGGAGGTGGTGAGGATGAGGAGATTGAAAGTCATGGTCTTGAACGTCCCAGGACAGCTCCTCAGTCAGAATTGGATGACTTTGTCCCACCGCAAACCAAGCACGAGTATGGAAAATACTCTCAGTACCAATACGCTCAAAGTCAATTTCAGCAGTCTCTCTACCAGACACCTCAGTCCTACCAGTCTCATTCAATCTACTCCTCTGTCCCTTCGCTCACTACCTCCCAGCAGCAGAGTTACCACCAAATGCTTTTGTTGCAGCAGAAAGCTGCGAGACAAGCAGCCCTACTCTCAGAGCTCGATGCAACGAAATATGATGTCATTAGCCGTCAGCCTGATCCCACTTCATCAGCTTACCTTGGTGTTAAGTATGACAAATATGGAAATCATCTTGATCTCAGAGCCTTAGAAGTGGGAAGTATAGCAGGTAGCCCAATGTCAGCTGTCTCTGATTCCTACTACACAGATGTAGATCACCACACACCTCGGAGTTACATGCTGCTGGAAGATGCTGCAGAACTAGCTAAAGGCTCCACAGGTCTGTCCTCATCTTATAGTCTGGCTGAGAGGGAGCTGGCAAAGGCAGAGAAACTGCTTCGTAGGAGTGCTGCTGATCTGGGGTCTACTGACTATTTGGGATCCACGTCCAGACTTCATACCTTTGGAAAGACCCCTGACGAAGAGGATACCATGGAGGAACCCTATGAACTGAAACTTTTAAAGCAGCAGCTTAAGCAAGAGTTTAGGAGAAGTACAGGTGGGACTGAAAACTTAGAACAATTGACAGGTCTCTCACAGCACTACTATACACCAAGCTCTAGCATCTCTGGTTACTCTCAGAGACACTATCCAAAGTCAGAAAAGTATAGCATCAGTCGACTTACTCTTGAGAAGCAGGCAGCTAAACAACTCCCAGCATCTATGTTGTACCAAAAACATAAGACACCACTACTAGATCCTAAAATCTCCTCCAAGTATTCCTCTATTACAGACAGTAGAGGTTTAGAGACTGACTATACTAGCTATTTGGGGTCCACCAGTGCATCCCCAAGATCCAGCCGTCTCTTGCAAGATGAGATTACCTTTGGTCTTCGGAAGAATATTGCAGAGCAGCAAAAGTATTTAGGATCCACCCTGGGTGCTAACTTGGCTGGGTCACTTAACTTGAGTCAGAGCTTGGGTTTGGATTCTGCCTATCCTAGTGGTAGTCGTTCAAGACCATCCTCCAGGCCCACATCTTGCTATGGCCTGGACTTGTCTATCAAAAGAGACCCATCAAGCTCTTCACTCAGGCTGAAAGGAGATGGTGAAGCATCTGGAGACGGCCCAAATTATCAAACCCCATCTGGTCGCACCAAACCTACTAGCCTTCCCATTGTCCAAAGTGGGCGCGGCAGAATACCCATAGTGGCCCAGAATTCAGAAGAAGAGAGTCCACTGAGCCCTGTTGGGCAGCCTATGGGTATGGCCCGTGCATCAGCGGGACCTCTGCCTCCCATCTCAGCCGATTCAAGGGACCAATTTGGTTCTTGCCTTTCATTGCAAGACTCCCAGCAGCAGCAACATATCAGGGAAGAGCCAACAAGGGGTAGGAGTTATGTGCTGCTGGATGATCTTCAGGGCACCATGTCAGATAGCGAAGGTAAAAAACAGACTTGTTACACTGCCACTTCATTCCTAATTAGCGTTTCATCATTAACACTTTTTGGTTATGGTTTGTCTTGCATGAATTTATTACTAAAGTGGGTAAAATATAGCTTGTGTTTCTTCATTCAGACTCAGCATGTCTTTTGAGGTGTTTTTGTTTTTCCTTTGCATTCTGTTGAATGTGTCTTCTTATTCCTTTCTAGTGCAAGTACATTTAATATTGAGTTCCTTTGTGCATGCAAATCATTTGTAAACTTTTCTGTTTCCTATAGACTTGAATGTATCTTTATGTATACACTGTTTTCTATTTTCTGTTCTATTCTCATCCCAATTATTGTGTAACATCTTCCTATATGAGTTCACTGCACTGTACAGTCTGACATCCTGTTTCAGATACATGAAAGGCGTCCCCCAAGAAATACAACTTTAAAACTCAACATGATGTCACACGTAGCTGTTGAAATGCTTGAAGTATTTTAAATCCTTCTAATTAAGCATTTAGACGACAGTAGTATATTGATCCTTTAAAATAGATCACATAGAGAAAATGTTTTCACTGTAAATGATGCAATGAAAAAAGTGCCTTTGCCACTCAAAAAGTTAGAGTTCTGTCAGTTTCAGTCAATTTCTCTTAAGCATAATAGTGTCCTGTCTGCATTTTCATAGACAGTAATATACAAATATATATTTTTGGATTATTGATGTGCAATGTGAATACAGGATATTTACTTAGTTATTCCATGATTGCATTTAACTTTCTACTAGTACCCAGTAAGACTAAACTATAGGAAGATTTAAAATGTTTTTTTTGTTTTGTTTTGTTTCATTTTGTTTGAAATGCATGATATTTCTTTGCAATACTTCTGTGTTAATAAATATAAAACTTTTACATGCATGTCTTGTCTTAAATATCTGCTTTTGTGCACTGTGATACATGAGTGATTTTATGCTGCATGAAATGCATGCATGCCTCCTTCATGTAAGAAGATCACCGAAAATCTGATCATTTGATTAACTTCTGTTAAGCAAACATAGTTCATTATTTTTGCTGCAGCTTCTATAGCTGAAAGCAAATGAGCTGTCATACATATGAGGACAGTGTTTTTTTCCAAAACAGTGGTTCAAAAGCACTATTACAACAGGAAAGGGGAAAAAACATTATTGTTGCCAGCACTTGCTGTCGTGATAGCAGTGGTTCGCAATAAATCATGTGTTTCAAAAACGACTTCTATAAAGCAGCTCTAGAACTTCTAAACTTTAAGCTGAGGACAATGTATTACTAAAACAGGATGCAAAATGGGCTGTCATTAAGTGCAAACTACATTCATAGTAACATTTCCTATCTTTTTGTTTCATATGCTTAAAGATGCCATGTCTGAGTTGTCTTGAATGCAGTTTAATTATTTACCTATTGATTCATATGGATCCCAATATTTTATTCATACTTTATAATACATTAAACCCGTTTGCCTTGATTGCAGCCCTAAGTGATTCCCTGATGGCTTTGAACAGAGACGATGCAACCAATGGTAGAGTATTAGTTCAGTTCTCTACGCTAATATATTAACTTGCACCACAAATAAAATGCATATCAACAAAATGGTGTCTAAATGTTGGGGAGGTTTAAGACATTTCAAATTTGGTAATACAAACAATACTTATATTGGAAATTTAAAACAAATTTAAATGATTTTACATTTTTTACAGTTTTCATAAGATTCATCACACACTTGTTGGGGAGGAGACTCATTCACCTTCCTAACAACTGGAGAAAAATTATAGAAATATACCCAACATTTACATCTATCGACAAGTATGGCAAGATAGATTTCGTTTATGCTACTGTGTTGTACTAATAGTGCTTTAATCGTTCTCAATCTGCCTTATTTTCTGTGCATACATATGGAATTGTTTTGGTTTTTGGCATCATTTTCCTACTTTGCAAAAAGTGTAACAGATTAAACTTCTGTTTGGCTCATATTTTTTCCTCATATTTTTTGCAACCTAACAACTAATATGTAGACGTTTTTTCAATGGCATGTAATCACCTTTAAATGACCTGATAACCATCCTCTGTAAGTGGATGGAAAAGTCCAGATTCTCAGATTGGTTTTGAAGCTGTGCTTGTTTTTATCCCTGAAGCCTACCACCTTAGACGGGAAGAGACAGATTGGTTTGACAAACCGAGAGATGGGTGGTCGGAGAACGGACAGGAGAAGAGACAGGTGAAAGAGGAAAAAACACATACACTGTAGTAAAGTTCTCAAAGTGTCATCTATGAAACACCAAGCTGCATGCATTCACATGGAATCATCTTGATATATATAAATATATATATAAATATGTTGCATGAATGGTGTATGGTTTTTGTATAGTAGCACAAGGCACTTAACGTCTTACCATTGTGTATGGGCCATAGGGAAAAGGTCCATACTACCCCTTCCCTCACCTCAGGGTCAAACTGCAGAGGGATCCTAAAGACCGCAGTGTCTCAGGTAAAGTAACACAGTTTACAGGAGCGTCATGTTAATGGTAGAGTGACTGACTATACAGTCAGAAAGGCATGTATGTTCATGTGTTATTGACTGTTGTACAGTCAGTTAGGACTGCATCAAATATAATTAGGAATAAGAATGTTATAAAATAAACGAAATAAAAATATTTACAAAGGATAGACAACAAAATATGCATAACAAAATATAGACATTAATCTAGATCTTTTTGGGTTTACAGAGCATGACTAGTTAGCTTAATGCATATTACTTAATATTCAAGCCAAATCTCAGCAAACTAGCAGGTCACTTTGCTAGCCTATATGTTGCATCACACAACTCTTCCAGGCTCAAAGCAGCCCAGCATTTCATTTCCTGGCTTCCTTTTCGATTTGGCTCTCCTCCATGCTCATCAGTCATTGCCATGCTCAAAATGGCGTATCCCTCACACTCAGGATTATCTTATGCAATTAACAAGCAGCCCAGAAAGGAAGCGTTTTGTTTACTAGCGCCCAGTGCTGAACTGAGTCATTTTGCTGCAATGTTTTTGTTCTGGCTTCAATAACCATAAAAAATGGTTTCATGGTTCAAAATTAGTAAGGTTTCTGTTTTTGCGTAATTGAAAGCCTCTTTATGTAGGCTGAGAAAATCAATACAAGGGTAGTGGTTTAATCTAGTTAACAGTGTACTGTGTGTAGACAGTGTGCTGCCTACATATGACCTAAACTGCTGCTGGACACAGAAAATCTGCAAACAAAATGATGCACACATTTCTTTAAGACTGTGATTTAAATTAACATATCAATTTAAGCTATTAAGCTTTACCTGGAGTTTAGCTGGGTTTTCTCATCAGTTTTGGATTAAGCATCTAGTAATTTAAGTTTCAGAGACTGCATCAAAGTGTATATATTTCAGTCAAAAGTTTACAGCTAGCCAAAACCAGCAAGTATGCTATAATGAGCTTTAGCTTTAGCTATGGCTAGTTCTGGCTAGCTCCCTAGCTCCCACGATATCTAAACCCATAACTTTTAGCTACATTTTACCTGCTTATCTCTGAAAAATTATTGTATTTTTAGTAAATAACTTACATGTTTAATTTGATACAAAATATCAAATTACAGGCTTAATTCTATTTTGACCATAGATAGTATAAAAGATGGCCACAGCTACGTCACCTCTTGGTTTGTGAAGTCTCCTTAGGAGCCTCAAGATGAGGATTTTCACCATGTTGGTCTCAAAACTTAGAGGTTTTGAGAAAGGGGCACGTCTGGCTGTGAAACTGCATGCTCATTGGGCGTTGACTCGTGAATCACAAGTAGTTAGCCAATGAGCTTATTTCTAATAATCCTCAGTTCTGGACCATGGTATGACAAGGGTTTAGAAAATGGACCTAATGCTTTATTAAATATGGTCTAAAACAGTGATCCCCAACTTTTTTGCACCACGGACCGGTTTGTGCCCGACAATATTTTCATGGACCGGCCTTTAAGGTGTCGCGGATAAATACAACAAAATAAAACTAGTACCGGTACCGAAAAAAGAAGATTTATTCATAACACACGTGAAAAGACCCAGGAAAACCGAGTTAACGGAAAAAAAAACCGATAACAAAATAACACTAAAAACTGATAAAAACCCTGAAAATCATACATTTCACACCCGAGTCTCACTCTCACGGCCCGGTACCAAATGACTCACGTACCGGTCCGTGGCCCGGGGGTTGGGGACCGCTGGTCTAAAACAAGTGACTGAGACTCAAAACTGACTCAAACTCAAAAGCACTTTTCCCTTTTTTGAAACCATAGGCATTGCCCCCTTGTGGCCATTAAAAAGAATTCAGGTCATGTCTTTTATACAGTCTTTATTTTGTCTGACTCTGTAGTCAGTGTATTTGGCTTTCTACATAATAGTCACAGTTTTATGTTATTTGACGAGGTTTTTTTTGTGTACAGTCATACAAAAGAAATCATATATTGAATTATAAATATTGTAGACTGTGGGCTACTTCTACCATAAACACTCACCAGTCTTTCTTTTGGGGCATTAGCAGGAAATGGTCTGGGTATCCGAGTGGTCGGAGGAAAAGAGGTCCCTGGTAGTAATGGAGACATTGGAGCATATGTTGCCAAAGTGTTACCTGGTGGAGCGGCAGAACAAACAGGAAAGATTCTTGAAGGTAAGCTCTTTCATCTAATTAAATCTCTTATTGTGAAAATTAAGTAGAGTAAATGGAGTGTAACTACAATGTGACTGATAACTCACTAGTCTTCTGCCATACAGTTAAGGGGTGCCATAAGGTATTGTGCGATACAAAATTAAGATACAAAATGTTTCAGTCTTCTCATATAAAATTCAACAAGCATGCCAAACAAACCTTTTCTTCACGCGTGTAATTTGGGTGCATTTACATCTTTGGTCGTTCGCAGCTGACAGACTGAAAGAATCGAACATGTAGTTGGAGTGAGAGAAACAGGGAGATTACAAAAATAGGTCTTCATTTGAATTTAGTTTTATCACCTGCAGGCGACGGGCCATGACTCACATTTGGTCATGAGAGATGAGAACCAAAAACAAGAAGCTTATGGGTGTTGAGTGTTTAAACCAGCAGTTATATTTGTATCATTTTATTATCATTTTTCACCTTTTGACTAATTGGAATGGAGATAGAACCTAATGGCTGTGTCATGATAGCAGAGTTATTTTCTTAACAAATCTATTGTATTATTTGATGACTGTTCTAAAATACCAATCATTATATTATAGTTCTTAACCCACAGATATGGCCTTTTTTTTTAACAATAAATTGCTTGTTTTGTGTGTAACAGGAACACATTATATTGATTTTTACATAGGGGAGTATGAGATCAGTGAACTCCTAGTCATACTCACATGAAGGGTGTCACACAATCAGTAAAGCTTGAGGTTGGACAGTTTAGACGTGTATAATCCATCTGCCTGTACTCTGAGGATGTGTTTATGTGCACTTGAGCATGACCACTTGCTGCTCTTGTTTACCTCTCCTCCTGTTTCCTTTTTATTGTAGTACATGGCTGCTTTACTTTGCTTTAACGCTCTCCACTTTTTTGTAAGCACGCTATAAAGGGTTCCAGAGAGAACAGTACCATGAAAAGATAGAAATATGATACTGAAAGTTGTTCTTTAAGTCAAAGGCCAGAGGATTCAACAACATCCTACAGAGCAATTGTGTCATGCATTTTATTCTAACACAGAGAAAAAACTAAAACTGTTAGCAGCTGCTGTAGTCCAAGAGTCAAGGTACATCTGTGGTGCCATTAGCCAGACACCTCAACCATAATAACACCCGTAACCCTGTCATCAACACCGAGCAGAATGGCTGCAAATTACTTCGGTTCTGCCAGTGGGAACACGATGCCTCACTCTGTCTGGTGCGAATATGGAGAAACGTTGTCAGATTCAACAGGGGTAGAGGCTCTGTGTCTCATAAGGAGTGTGTGTGTATGAATGGGTGCTTGTTTGATCGCTGGAATTCAGCCTCCAAAAGCTACTATATACAGTTCAAGGGTGTTGATGAATAATACCAGTGTGGGAATACAGTGTACTCTAGCTTTCCTGTCACATATGCACGCAGCTCGAGAGTACCGTCGAAAACAGAGGACCTTCCTGATGAGCTGTTTCAATCCGTGTAAGTCCTGCCAGCGTGCAGGGTGTGTTTTGGAGCATGCGGTGGGTTTGCTGTGCTGAGTGGAATATCACTGCGCTATTTTATATATAGAAATGATCAGCCTGTCCTGGGAAACATCTGTCACTGCTAAAGCAGGTTGGAGAAAAGTGTATTTGATTGTAAATGACATATTTTTAAGATTAAACAGACCCTTTTACTCTGCTTGCTCTTAACTAATAACTAATGACTAAAATGAATGGACTGATTTTTTTAATCATTTGATTGTTTTATGAGATAGGTTTTGATTCCTTTTTTTATTTAGAGGGATGTGTCTGTACAGCACTGGATGTGGGAAAATACAGGATCAATATTGATTGCTCTTCTGGGTGTGCAAAACGTATATAGGAATGCAGGTCCTGGAGTGGAATGGTGTTCTTTTGACGGGGAAAACCTATGAAGAGGTACAAGGGCTCGTTGGACAGCCGTGTAATGAGGCAGAAGTGTGTGTCAGACTGTGAGTATAACCTGTGTCACTTGCAATTTTTCTCTTGTGCACTCTGTTCAACCCGCCATAATGTCATTCTTGTCTTTTCTTTTCTTTATATTTAAGATGGATCATTTTAACCTCTTCATGACTTTAATGTCTAATATTTAAAAGCTAGTCTTAATCACCAGCTTTGCTGTCCTGTTTTTTAATTAACTATTGTCACATCATTTTTTTCTCCATTTCTGTGATGTTTTTGTGGCTTTTCTGGTACCTTTTTTTTGTCTTTTTTCCTTGTCATTTAATTCCTTTAGTTTCACTTTTCAGAAATGTATGAAATGTAATTTTTCCAACAGGGATCTCAACATGTTGGCAGAGTCTGAGGGTTCCCAGCACCTAGATTTCCAGGAGCACAGCAAAGGTAAGTTGTTACCTAATTATTTTTATTATAATTTCAACTGGAACTGATTCCACTGATTCCTCCTCACTCCTGTTCCTCTGTCCTCAATTTTTCCCTATTAACTTTTGTCTCTTGTTATTTTCAGATGCTCTTCTCATATTCTTCTTCTTTTTATCTTCAGCTCTCTTTTTTCTCTCAAGTTGAGCCATGTTTTTTTTTTCTGTGGCCTAGTTCCTCAGTCTGTTACACAGAACAGTTCTGGAAACATGCGATTGTTTTCACAGAGCTGTCTCTATTGTGGCACTTTAATATTCACTTTTCTTTTCCATTGAATTTGACTTGGAAGTGAATTGGGTTAAGAGCCATAGTGATGATTCATTTGGTCCCTAGACAGATCATTGTCAAGATCCTTTGGTTTGTTATGTGCAGCGATGATGATCTGTACTCATAGTTAACTCATGTTAACTTTCTAGGTGACAGACCTCCCAGATCTCCAGGTGTTGATCCCAAGCAGCTAGCGGCCGAGCTGCAGAAAGTGTCACAGCAGCAGGCTCCACTGTCCACCTCCTCCTCCAGCCTGCCTGCCACCACTTCAGCAACCTCCAGCCCCGGTCAGCCAGGATCCCCCTCAGTCAGCAAGAAACGTCACAGCAGCAAGGCGAGTTTAGAGGCACGCTATCAATCACATTCTTTACGTTTTAGGCAGCCAAGCAAACATGTCAACCCCAGCCACAATCCACAGATACCGTAGAACATGCTATTCACACAGGCTTTTTTAGCTTACCCACAGTTGCTGCAAAGCTGCAAGCTGCTTTGCAACCAACCTTCGCGCCAGCTCCTCCTTTTCTCCTTTGCTGTTTCTGACTCTGTGTCACAACCTTTGATATTGATGCTTGCTCTACTCATGTAAATCCATGGAGATGGAAGTACATGGTCTTCTTTTGACTATAGCAGTCCTGGCTGCACTGTAAGCACCATTAAGATTGCAATATTGAGTTTCTGGGAAAGTTTATTTTGAAGCTATGCCTCTGTCTGCAGAGAGTTTCTGAAGAGCTCTTCTAAACTTTGTTTTAACGTTTGCTAGTAGTTGTCTTTGATTTCATAAGAGATATATCTACCTCTAACTCAATATGAATTCAAGATGTGTATAATATAATTATTTATTAGTTAAAATTAGGTAACAGTATATGTCTTTTTTAAAGGATGTCAATTATCTGAAGGGATCCCTGAAACAGATGCACAGATTCTATGATTTGGAGACTTCACAGTTTAGCCTAAAGTGCAGCATAAAGTACTGTACACCACCTTATAATCAGCTACCAGTACACACAAAAGTTCCACCTACACTTTTGTCTGTTTCACCATGTTGTTTTCATCTTTTACAGATTGCAGAGGGAACAAAGAGCCAACCCCACCCTGTATCTGGAGAGATACAGGTTTGTGACACAAAACTATTACTGTAAATCTGTAATCTGTGTAGATTTAATTCTAAGAGTATAGAATCTGAGTAGATGGATGTTATTTTTGCTAAAATTAGATAGATGCAAGACTAAAATGCAGCCGAATCTATTGTAATTCAGTTGTGTTTCTTTTTGCAGCTTCAAATCCACTATGACAAGCAGCTTGGCAACTTGATAGTTCACGTCCTGCAGGCCAGAAACCTTGCCCCGCGGGATAACAATGGCTACTCCGATCCATTCGTTAAAGTGTATCTCCTGCCAGGGAGAGGGTGAGTTAGTAGTGTTTAGACTGAAAGCACATGTTAAGGATTTCAGAGCTAGAAAAAGTAATTAAGTATACAGATTTTCAGAAGCAGTAGCAGCATTCTAGCTAAGATCTTTTTTCCCATCTAGGCTACACAGACAGCCAGTCTGTTAAGCAGTAACTTAGTTTCCATTCATTTTAAAATCGATGTACAATTGATTTTGGCTTATCATGACATCATTCAATGTGCAACACATGGATGTTTCTGATATGAACTCCATAACGCCTATGTGCTACTATGCATAAGGTCGTCTTTTATTTTGACATAGTATAAGTCCAAAACTCAGCAGCCCATTTCTTTTGCTCCCGAATGGCATAAACATTATGTAAATATAATGAGGCACTTGAGTTGCCCCTGTTGATGTGTGTTCCACTGTAGGTGTGAGTGCAGTCAAAATCAATAGCTCTCATATTTACTTGCAATACAATCCAGACTCCTGCTTAAGTCTACTGCTGCCTTTCCCGCTGTGATTGCACTGTAATGCAATTGACTCTCCCACCTTCTCTTCGGCATGAGATGAGGTCCCTCGAGAGAGTGTTTTTTGTTTTTTTCCAGGGATCATTTCAGATAAAAGTAATAATATACTGTATAGCTGTGGGGTTTTTAGCTGCCACTCTCACACGCCTTCGGGTTGACTCATGCACCGATGCCACTGTGAGTTATGAACGGGTTTGGGGCTATGCTAAAGAAACTGAGAGAATGGCAGCCACAAGCCCTACGGCCACTTTAAAGTGGTTATGGAAACATGCACACTTAAAGGCATGTGTGCACATACTCGTGTATACCCTGTGTGTGTATACATGGAATCTCACAGCTATCAATGCCAGCTGCAATCCATAGAGAGGCTTTTCAGTTGCATCGCAGGTCTTCTGGCAACTACGTGGGACAGCGTCTCAATACTGAGAAGCCAGAAAAAAAACAGTGGGTTTTATTTTGTTTTACGTAAAACAAATGTTGAGCCTTCAGCTCTTGCAGCAGAAACTTTAAGAAATAAATCAGACTGCGCGATCTGGCTCATGAGTGACAGATCTCCACTCCGGTTGCCACAAGATCTGTCACGTGACCTGGGAGTCCTCTCAGCACACATACATGCAGTCATGTACACACTATAGCAAAATTTCTATCCACCACTGCAGCAGACCGCAGCTTCCTGTTCATGCCCCTTTCTAAAAGGCACACTGGACAAATCACACGCTAAACCTAAGCTAAGTGTAGACTCAATCTCCCCTCACAGTCCACAGACACTTTTTGACCCGCCCCCCACCCTCCCTCTGACTATTGTTTCTGTATGTTGTTCTCTATATTTAATGCATGCTGGACCCCCTCAGTCAGGTCATGGTTGTCCAGAATGCCAGGTATGTGACTTGCCCACTTTGGCACTTTGGTTCTGTTTTGGTTGATAATTAGTTGTCACTTTGGTTAAGGCAAAAAAAGAGCAAGGTCAATTTCTCTCTGGAAGTTTATTGATAAAAGTCACTTAGTTCAGTCCTACTAACTCCCTTCAACCTGAATATATTTCCCTTAGTATCCATTATTTCATGATACTCTCTTTGGATGCCCCAGATATTATTATTTTACCATCTGTTTTCCTTACTACATATAAACTAGTAGTCCCCTGTGTTGTTTTCAGAGTTAACTGTTGTCTTTTTCTGGTAGATGGTCTGTTTTTCCTTTCTAACCATCGTAATTTGAAACCCTAACATCGGCCCCAATACCCTAGATTTTGACCCTGTTTTGTTATTAAAACCCCTCAGTAATATCCTACATTGTGCCCTGACATCATAATGTACCCTCAGTGCCCTGCATCCACATCCAGTGTACACTATTATTTTGCCCTACGGCCAATTCATACCATTGTTGTCCAGTATAGAGTAGATTGTCCCTGTCTTTTCCAACCTAACTCTTCCAAACTTACTCATATGCTACAGTCTGAACTCAAACCCTACACACTGCAAAAATATCCATGTCAACAAGTCATTTATTGATGCCGAGCATTAATGTTTTCATGTGAAATATCTTAACTCAGAATAGGTAAAAAAAAACCATTTGGTATACGGTCATTACATTTGTTTTTGTCATTGGGACTATTGGTGCTTTTCTTCTTACTGGAGACCTGAAACATTTGTTCTTTCAATGCATAAAAATTCTGTGAAACTAAATGACTTGATGGGCATTGAAATGGACTTTTTTGCAGCACACCCTGACATCATACCCTGCTATCCATGCACATAGGCCCATACATTGTTACCATCCAAACAATGTGCATCACATTCATTCTTTTCCCTCTACTGTGACATTGTGCCCTACTCCAGTATCTTCTGCTCCCTGCAATGCGTAGGTTCACTGACACGCATGTTATTTGCATACATGTCGTTGACCAAGTGTGTGTTGCTGTGATGTGTTCCCCCCAGTGCTGAAAACAAGAGGAAGACCAAACACGCAGGCAAGACTATCAACCCTGAGTGGAACCAAACTGTCATCTATAAGAACATCCACCTGGAACAGGTACTGTGTGGTCAGAGACACTTGATTACACTAAAACAGTTTGAGCCTAGTTTGAGCCACTGAGCTGGGCCTCACTGTACTGTGGTGTTGGTGCTTTTTGGAGAATTATTAATTTAATTATCTGACAAATACAGTAATATGACTCACTTTGTGTAATTGGGATTAATCATACCAACAATGTTTCCAAAACTTTTGTCTCCCAGCTTTGATTCTGTGTCTTTGCAGTGCACATATACAGTATCTGTACCATTTTTTTTAACTGTATGCAACCTGCTAACCAAGCTTGCTAACATTAGCTGATAACTTTGCTCTTTACTCTCACATCCAGATATAATTAGAAAGAAAATACAATCAACATATATTGCTTCCTTACATGCTGCTCTTTATACTCTAAATGGTTGGGTGGCGGTGCCTCTTTTATATACAGACTATTATTCACGCATGGTATTGATATTACTGTCTTAATGCTAATATTTTGCTTTGTTTAAATGTTTTAGGGTTTTTTCTAAGCAAACACAATTGCATCAGCATGATAACATCATAAGCTGGAGGTGTCTTCATCATGAGCTTGTTAGCATGCCCTGCCAAAGTACAGAGTAACAAAACCACTAGTATAGCTATAGACTCAAGCAACATGTGAACCGACACTATGAGCTCAGACACTCAAAAATGTTATTGTTATCTTACGCTGTTTTTTTTTTAATGGCATTTTTCTATAACTCTGTAATAGTTCATATATGAATGGACAAATAAGAAAGCCCTCAACTGATTAATTTCCAGATTGAAAATAACAAAAAACTGCAGCACAATATATTGCTTTTTTTTTACTGCTTCTGTGCCAACCTGTCATCGTTGCCACTGGTTTTCAGCGGAGCAGATGGATGTATCGCTGAGATTTATTATATCTGTTTAGATCCCATTTTAGATTCAGTGAGCCTGTATCAATCACAGCAAAACTGCCAACTTCTGTCGCCGTTTCTATTCGTTTTTCGGCTGCTTGAAGGCATGAAACTGCTTTAACTTTAGCTTGAAACTTGAAACTTTTTTATGAACTCTTCAACTGTGTGTACATTTTAGCTTAAGAAGAAGACTTTGGAGGTGAGCGTGTGGGACTATGACAAGGGCTCCTCTAATGATTTCTTGGGGGAGGTAAGCTCCTTTGATATTATATTTTATACATATATGAATCCATAAAGGTTTTCTATAACTTTTAAAAACTTTTCTATTTGCTTGTAGGTGCTTATTGATCTGTCCAACACTGCCCAGCTGGACAACATCCCGCGGTGGCTCCCTCTCAAGGAGCAGAGCGAGGGGGACCACCACAGACGCTCGCACTCAGGCCAGGGTCGTCACAGTTCTTCTAAACCCTCCTCACAGCACTCCTCCCCTAAAACCACTGGTTCCTCGCATGATAATCAGGATTCCCCAAAATCATCTGTCATCAAGAGTCGAAGCCATGGGATCTTTCCAGATCCGGCCAAGGGTAGGACACGATGTATTCCCCTCACCTCGAATTAATCACCATCTTCCCCTAACAACACTCTGCTGCTTCTCTGCTGTTTCCTCGTCTCTGTAGTCTGTTCTTCTTTATCCCTTTCTTTCTCTTTTTTGCTTTCTTCCTGTCACTGCTCTCTCTATTTCTACCTCTACCTCTGTCCATTTTCTCTTTACAGTCTTGTCTCCTTTATTACCGCCACCTTCCTCTAGTCATTTTTGCACCCATTCTAGCTTTCGCTTCATGCTTTTTGCTTTCTTGTGGTCTGTTTTCTTGGTTGCCATGATGTCACCCTGCTTAGAGGCCTTGCCTTAGCTTCCCTCTATCTTTCTCCTAACACAGAGGGCAACATGGCCGTGGAAGGCTTTGAATGCTAGTTAAAAAATAACCTCAAAGTAACATCAAATTTAATGAGCACGATAGACTATAAGACACACTGGCTAGATTCAGTATCTCACTAGCCAGCAACTCAGCTCGTTGTGAGTGGTGCGCAACAGGTGACAACCACTAAGAAAAGCAAAAGGTAGCCTTTTTTTTGGTAATTTGGTGAATCTGGTTGTTTTAGACACACAGGTGCCCTCTATCGAGAAATCTCACAGTAGCCCTGGCACATCGAAGCCTTCCCCGTCCGAGGGCCAGAGCCAAAGCCACAGCCACGGACACAGCCAACACTCTCGCTCACACGGCGCTTCACGCTCCAGCAAAAGCGCAGCACGACAGCACCATCAGGAAAGCCTCAATGGAAGCAGAGGAGGCGCTGCCGTAGCAACGGGCGATGCCCAACAGCAGTCACAGCAGCAGCCGCCACAACGCCTCCAACCAAGTAAACCAAGACGCAAATAAAGCCTACGCAGCATGGCCTCCTCGCACTCATCTGTTCTACCTTTTGTTGAGTTTTTTTTTTTTCCCGTTCCTTTATTTCCTTTTCCTTACTTAGTTTCCCCTCACTCCTCACACTCTCTGGTTCTCTTTAGCATTGTATCCACAGTGTGTCAACCTTTCATGGCTTCTCTTCTGTATGTATTCACAAGTGTCAGCAGCCAGCACCTCACCTGTAAGGTAGCACACTGTCTTTGACCCTTACTTATTTTGACCTCCTTCCAAATACGCATAATGCTAGCTAATAAGTATCCAGTTCTAACTATTTAAAATCCTATTAGTGTTAAAAAATATGTAATAAAGAGGCTTAAATGTACTTTAATGGAGTTAAACTTAAATATTAGCTTTCGTTTTGACTGACATTAGCTTTTAATTTTAAGATGACAGTGTAAACAGTAGTAAATAAATGAAACAGAAAAAAGCAGATTTGCACAAGATGTTCAAACGAGCTTGGCGATAATGTCAGAGCAGCTCGCTCTAATGATGAAAGATTACTGATAAAACAGTTTCGTAACAGAGGACAGTTCATCAGGAAAATAATTCTTCAGAATTCAGAAAATGACTTTTGCTGCCTGCTAGAACTTAAATCATTTCATTTAACTGATCCGACTTTAAAACCGAAGACAGTTGCAGTCCCCTCCCTTATATCATTTACCTATTTGGATTTTTACTTTGATTTTATTATTATTATTATTTATTTTTATTTTTTGAGTTCTGTATAATTTCCTTTTTTGTTAACAAACAACGACCAGCTTTTCTGAAGCTCCTCCACCGAGATGGCTGTGCATGCAGTCCGCTACACCCACCCTCCCAACCCTTTTTTTTCTGTTTAAACAACTACCGGACCCACGATGCACCTCAGTAGATGCTGCACGCCCCACCCAATAGTGATGTGGGAGGGGCACTGCACACTGTGGCTGCATGTGATTGACAGTCAAGCTGGTTGCCATGATGAAGATAAACCGCTCTCTGAATCTCCATCTCGCTCCTCCCTCCTTCTAATTTGAATTCCAACACCATGACCTTTGTTTCCCGGCGTTGACCCCTTGACATCGTGCCTGTGAAACTAAACTCATCCAGGCCAAAGAGGCCGCCTCTCACTGAGGCACCAGAGACACAGCGTAGTGGGCGTGCTCACCATTCAGAGAGCCCAGTCTGACTGGCTGCCTGCCCTGCCATCGATTGTGTCGGCCAAAGGGAGCAGAGCAGACGGCAGACACCTGACCCTCAGGAAAGCCGTGTCAGAAGAGAGGCCGCAGAGCACCGGAGGTGAGAGTTTGCCCAAGAGTCTCCTCTCTGTCGTGTGACTGAAGCACAGATGGAGCAAGGAGAGAAAGAGAGAGTGAGAGAAAGAGAGGATGCAGTACTACTAACGCACACCTGCAGAAAGAAAGAGGGGAATATTCATAAAAGAGACAGGAAGATAGAGAGAAAGTTGCACTCAGCCACATCACCACAGATTCATGCACACACGGCACACACTTTTCTTGAAGGCCACCGACACAGTTCACTAATACCAGGAAGTCAATATCCAAAACTGTGAGATGAGTCATTGAATGTTAACACTTTGCCACTGCCACATCTGCTGCATCATTAAACTGTTATTAGTGAGCTTTTTCGCAATCCGGCATTGATGCCGTGTCGAGTGGCTTGAAAGAAAAACGTGTCGGCATGGATCCTCTCGTGCACCGCATCCACGCATCTTACTTCATTCATACTCTTATCACACTGCCTGATCAGCAGTTTGAGAGCAAAAAAGCTAAAACATTGAAAATCATCTAAAATATCCTGCATTAAACAGTTAAAAAGATTATAAAGAGACAGTCGTAAACATTCTTTAAAGTCCCGAAAATATGAAACTGAAGCACACTGAGGCAGTTTCACTTAAACTTGAGGAATCGGAATGCGATTCTTATTTCATGTAGACGACTAACGATGTCAGTGGAGTCTTCGTGTCTCTTGTTTAGTCTGCATAAACATATACATGTGATATCGCTCTGGTTCTATGTGTGCGTTTTAAGTTTTAAATTTTAAATGTGACTTTTTACTGTCTTGTCTTTGCCGAGAGAAAGATGTCTGTCCATGTGCTTTCAGTGTTTGTGTGCTATTCATTGCGATCCAGTCCTGTGTGCTTTAAAGTAGCTTTCTCTTTGACTTTAGCAAAAACTTTTCAAGTTTTATAGCAGATTTCCACTGCTGCAAATAAGTAATGCTACATGGCCCATGTTTTTTTTTTTCTTTTTTTAATTATTGGAACCAACCGAGGAGGGGAAGGGGCAATTTTTCTTTCTTTGTCTTTGTCGTGATGGGTGTGGTGATATCTATGCACAGCTCGGTCAACCTACAAATCAGGAGATGCCCCGGTCACAGCAGCCTCGTTAGATAGTGGCTTGAGCGGCAGCGCCTACAGCCTACTGGACGAGGAAGCAGAGGCAAACGAGGTGGACAGTGCTATCTTCCAAGTGCCCCGATTGTGAGTCAATTTATTTATCCCACAAAGAGCGGCATTTTAGCATTTTAAACATGTTAATTTGCTTAACTATTCCTCGCTGTACTAAAGATATACTGTACTACATTGTAATATGCTATGCACTTAAATAATTTATATATTTTTTTCTCTTCCTCAGTGGAAAGATCCCAAATGGCACAGATGTGATAAAATCATCACTGGGACACAGTGACACTGAAGGTTGGGCATGTATCTGTTATACAGTAAATGTTTTTTGTGTGTGTTTTTGGTGTATTCATTACAACATTCATGACATGATTATCTAAGAGTGCAATTAGCAAATGGCTCCTAAAGTTTGCATGACCAACATTTAAACTAGTCCCTTGATGTTATGTGCCATAAAGGGGTTGGACATGGTAGGCAGCTACTGACAGGTAGCATTTAAATAAGACTCACCTGGTATTAAATGGGCTCAAACGGTATCAAGAAAAGTGCCCTATGCCATTTCACCACATCAGCCTGAACCATTGATATAAGCACACACTACATCGATACTTTTATCTTGATTCTGACCCTGCAGTCTAAATGTTGCGCCAGATATCAAGACACACCAGTCAAATTAGGCAATATTTTTCCAATCTTTTGTCCAATTGTGTGCAAATTGTAGCCTCAGTTTCCGGTTCTTAGCAGGCAGCTGAGTGGCAGTCGGTGTGGTCTTCTGATGCTGTAACCCATCTCCTTCAAGGTTGGATGTTTTGTGCTTTCACACAAACGTCCAACCTTGGAGAAGATGCTCTTCTGCATACCTTGGTTGTCACAAGTCGTTGTTTGAGTTATTGGTGCCCTAACTATCACCTTAAAGCAGTCTGGTTATTGTCCTCTGAACTCTGGAATCAACAAGCTTTTTTTCCCAAAGAATTGCTGCTCACTGGATATTTTTGTCCTTTTCTGGCCATTTTCTATAAATCCTAGAGATGTTTGTGTTTGAAAATCCCAGTAGATCTAAACTACTCAGACCAGGCTGTCTGGCACCAACAACGCCACATTCAGAGACACATAAATCCCCTTTCTTCTCCATTCTTGATGCTCAGTTTCAACTTCAGTGGGTTGCCCTTTACCATGTTTGCCATGTGGCTAAATGCACTGAGTTGATGCCATGTGATTGGCTAATTAGATATTTATATGAGCGAGCAGCTGAACAGGTGTACCTAACAAAGTTGCTGGGGAGTGTATATATTTTATAACTGCTCACAATAGTTACTCATCCAATTTTAAGTCAGCTCTATTGGTCTATTATATGATTTCTTACTCCTTCTTATGTTGTAATTTGGCTTACGACATACCACACTGTAATTATGACACTGTAATTTTAAATGGACTTATTTTATCTTTTTATCGTTTCACCATCTGCGCTCTGTCTTTTTGTGCCACTGGATTTCTCACTTTTCATCACTTCAGAAGACATTACATCCACTGATTTAACCAAATCCCTGCCTGTATATGACTATATAGTCAACCTTAAACCCCAGACTTCATCCTAAATTGTAAAGATTTACGTTATTGTCCTGAGAAAGGAGCTGCTTCCCCACAATGTAACTGTGTAAACAGATTTATGTCCCCACAACATGGGTAATAAAAGTGCACTTACACACAGCCTACATTTGCCAGGGACTTGTTGACCCAGCTTTCACAACTGCCACTTCCATTCAGTTGCCAAGGCAACTAGAGGCCAGGCAAGGCTCATCATAACTTCTCCTTGTCCTTGTTAAATCAATAAATGTGATTGCTCGCAGACCATGTCAGATATTAGTCATCGCATTCACACACTTTGTGCTCTGTAGAGTACGTCCACTTTGAAAGATGCCACATTTAAAATAATTGTAATAATTGAGCTTATACCCATCCTTATTTTCTTAAATTAGCTCTAAAGCCCTTCCTATTTTCAGTAGCTTTTAACTTGAGGTCTAATAGTTTGCTGAAGTTCACTGTAAATACATCCTATTGCTCTTTTATTTGACTTTTTTCTTTTTTACCCATTTAGAAGGTGCCTGGAAAGCACCTCTGTTGTTTTAAAATGTGCCATATAAATAAGGTTAACTTGACTAGTGCATATTTAGCTTCATGTGTGTATGCATTTAGGTAAGACTCAGGTAATGGGAGAGATAAAGATCGCTTTGAAGAAGGAAATGAAGACGGAAGGTGAACACCTGGTCCTTGAGATTCTTCAGTGTCGTAACATCACCTACAAGTTCAAGACTCCAGATCACCTGCCTGGTAACTGAAAATACCTGATCTATGCACATGACCGAACCAATGCCAAGCTAAAGTACACCAACTGAGCAAGCTGTTGTGACATATCACTTATTGTCATCCATTCTGTCAAGAATCGTGTTTTAGGAAGAGGAAGGTGAAAGAGAGGAAAAAGTATATTTACAGAGAGTTTCCATGATACGCATAATTTATATCGCATTTAACAGCTGGGAAGCCCACACAAATATGTGTTCTGGCATCTAGCTTCCCTTCAAATGTTTGCCAGTTTTATAGCAGTAGAACAACTGGTGTTGCAATAAAGTGTTTCCCAGCCCACGTAGAGCATTTAACCCTTAAGTAATATGTACTGTATATGTGTAAGGCTAAAAAAGAGACTGTAAAGGCTCACTAATGACACATAAGCCTGGGCAAATAAGATGTGGGATGTGCCATTTATGAGTTATATTTGACAGAAACTGTGTAGTTCGAGTAGTAGCATACATTACAGTATGTAACTCCCTTTAATTGAAAATTAATTAAAGTGTTAAAAAAATACAAATAGCTTCATTAGAGTACAATCGTATGCTATTTAGCCTTTAAAGATTGCTCTGTGCATTATTATTTAGAAACATTGGATAAATGCGTTGGGAGTTATATAGCACAATTACATGAATCTTTCTGCTGATATAATGCAGATTGTTGCCCACACTGCCTCTGCTTGTAGTATTTACTTCCTTAATACCCAAGCTGCCGGCCACTTGCTTGATTTGCATTTGCTACCAGATGGGACCTGCACAAAAGGCTTTATTTCAGCTGAGAATACACTGTCACTCTGCAGTACAGAATCTTGCTCGGTGTTTCATAATGGTAACACTTTATAGTTATGACAGTTATATAAACTATTTATATGTTATATAAAAGTATCGTTTTCAGTGCAGCTGTGTTCGCTATAGACACCCAGTGTCAGGATTCGAAGAATTGGGAGTCACACTCAAAAAGGCAGATTGAAGCAACAAAAGCCATCTTATTGCACTGATACAGAGAACACAAAGTCCAAAACAAACCATCGGGAATCCAAAGTAATCACAGAAATATGCAAGTGAACCACACTGTGAAAGAGAGCAGATGCTGAGGCAAAAATAAAGGGAAGGCATGGCTATTAGTACACAAAGGGGTAATCAGGGAAGTGGACACAGGAGGGTAACGAGAAAGCAGGGAAGTGAAACTAAAAGCAGGTTGCAAGAAACAACTGTCAGAGGAAAACAGGAAATTATTTAAAAGATATCTGCTTAAATCCTGAAATATGATACAGAAGGAAAGGATCAAGCCTTTATTTACAAGCTTGAAACTGAAAAAAAAAGGCACATTTTTATTGCACTAATAAAAAGTTATTAAAGATATATGTTCTTAATCCCTAATCCTAAGTGGAAAAATAGGACGGAACTAAATAAACCTTTTAAAAAATACCTAAAACAAATGATTATAGGAAGACATTTTCCTGCAGATGTCAGAAGTCACACTCAGAGAAATCGCATACTTTGTTTTGTTTTGCTTTGTTTCTGTCCACAGATCTTTATGTGAAGCTCTACGTGGTGAATATCGCCACCCAGAAAAGGATCATCAAGAAGAAGACCAGGGTTTGTCGCCACGACCGTGAGCCGTCCTTTAATGAGACCTTCCGCTTCTGCATGAACCCCACCGGACACGCGCTACAGGTAATCCACACAAAGTGTATGTTCACAGTCACATGCCACGTTAGCATCCCATTAAGCACGCACAAAACTGCTGCTTTTTGTTCTTTCCAGCTATTCCTGGTGTCCAACGGTGGCAAATTTGTGAAGAAGACCTTAATAGGCGAGGCCTACGTGTGGCTGGATAAAGTTGATTTACGCAAGCGAGTGGTGAGCTGGCACAAGCTGCTTGCCAGCACTGCCCAGATCCACTCATAGGAGGGGACTCAATCTAAAAGAAATAAGCTTAAGCGGAAAACAGGTTTCTGACATCTGGGTTCCACATCTGGAACGCTGATTCAGTCTTCTGGAAGGTCTGGGCACGGGAAGAGGGGGGATTTTTTTCTTCAACCTTTGTTTCAGGGCTCGCATAGCTTGCTATTTGGAAAAATGCTTTCAGCAAATGATGATATCTGCTCTGATTATGTGAAAAACTTTGAGGAAACCATTATGTGTTTACAGGGAATAAACACATGTTTACAGGACATACAGTGTACAGCAGTGTAGCCAGGACTTAGAAGAAGAACACAGGTGCTGAGTTCAGAGGTCAAGTGCAGAATCAACCAGGTATTACACACTTTATCTCACATACACACACACATGCTCACGACATTGCACACAGTCATTCACACAGAACTTCAAATCTAATAGATACAGGGAATGGACACACTTATAGATTCGAATTGATTTATTTTGACGTGTTATCCATTAAATGTTCTTTAAATGCTCACCCTCGCTTTATTATTGTATTGATTTACAAAGCGTTTTGGGAAAGAAATAGTAAAGACTCTGCTATAGAGACCTCTTATTTATTTTTGTATTATGATATTAGCGTAGAGTTCTATGATTTGTCTTCGCCTCAATTATTTAAGTACTTTAACAATCTATTCTGGGAAGGAAGTATATTTTATAATACACTACCTAGCATTCCAGTTCAATACAAAAAAAAATATTGCAAGCATGTTTTTGACTTTATTAACAAAAACTACTTGTTCCCTACCCTTTTAATCTGATTTTTCCCTGATGTTATCCAATGATGACTATTGTTTGATATAGCATCAATATTAATATATATCAAATTGGACATTACATGTTGTGCGCATGAGTCTATCTATTTGGTATGGAGTGCCACATGTTCAACAAAAAAAAAACAAAAAAAAAACCACCTCCAAGGTTCACTTTGTATATAGTGAAGTGTCATAGCTGGACATTATTCTACATATATAGATATAGATATATAGATATATATAGATATCTTTATCACAGACAATCAAGTCTTGATGATTGTGGCATAGAGGTTTTATTTATTCATGATGCTGCCCCTTAGAATGTGAGACGTTTACTATATGAGAGTTAAGCATTTCCTCTTTTTCCTTGTAAGATTGGAGCACATTAGAAGTCTTGCATCAGTCTTGCTTTCGTTCGTAAGGGCAGTCAACTCGACGACACTCGCTTTTGTAGTATTTTGCACTTTTTCTGCTTAGAATGTAAAACTAACATCATCATCCTGCTAAATTATTATTTTTTCACTGGGAAAGTGAGAAACTATAGACCAGGAACTACCCAGAGTTACGATCCTAAGACGCGATGCTGTAACAGTAGCATGATGATGTTTCGTCCCACCTCCACGCGCACTTCATTAAACGCCTATTATGCCCATTATTTCATGAGACAGGTCCTGTACAGGTGTCAAAAGACTGGAAGGCTGGTTCATTTAACATTTTCAGTGAAATATCCGAGTGATTTCTATGCAACATCTACTATATAGCGTAAATAACTGCACCCTGACTTGCCAGAAATATGACACTTGGTTTGAGAGGAAGCATTTCTGTTTATTTTGCACTGCTATGTTTTCATGTCCTCCACGAAATGGTTACTGCTTTAATATGATTTGTTGTTTTCTGTTTGGTTTTTTTATTTACCGTGTGATTTTTTTGTATTGCTATATGAATCTTTATTTATTGCCTGTGAGACAATTTCATATGTTGTATTATATTTGTTTACAGTACATATCAGATGTACAGAGAAATTAGGTTTTTATACACTATGTAGTGCTTGTTTACAATATTTAGAGGGGCCTGAAACTCAGAGAACCAACTTTTTTGCCCTTGTGCACGAACACACGCTCACATTAAAAACGCCAATTCCACGTAGCTATAAATCAAAGGAAGAAAATCGAACATTCCTAGTCATGATTCCTATCTTTGTTTTGCCCTCCCCCTTCGATTTGTTTCATTTTCCAGTAAGTGTATGAATTACCAAAAAAAAGCAACTAAAGAAAACCTTGTAATCAGTGGACTTCACACCTCAAACGTAAGGTGCAACGTGCATTTTTGGTTGCTTTTCTTAACTTTCTATCCATGTGCTCGTGTGTGTGTGTGTGTAGCATCTTCACACCAAGTCCATGCATGTCATTAGCTCTAATGCAGTATCCCTTCCTTTACATGTTATCTGTCTAAATTATCTAAAATTTCTCATAACACACAATGAATTATACAAACACACACACCCAGATGCCATCTCTATCTTCAACCTTGTAAATAAATAGTTTTTTTATACTGGGGTTTGGGGAAGCAATAGGTCTTTTAGCAGTCAAAACTAAACAAAAAACAAACAAAAAAAAGTCGCGTGATCTTAGAAGTAACAGGGAGTTGTTTCTCCTTGGATCGCTGTACAGTGGATAGGCCGAGGGAAGAGCTTCTGTCTGTTTTTAGGGACCCAGATTTACCCGACCCTTTACACCAAACACTAAAAGTTTACCAGAGTCTAACACAGAAGTCTATCTTCACAACTCAAGTAGTTGCAGGAGAATTTAAATGTGCTCACACTGGATGTTGCATGTTTTGTTGGTGGTTCATACTATTTTTGTGTCCGGATATTATTAAAGAAAAAACAAGAATGGTGTAGAGAGAGATATAGAACAAATGTTATAGAGGGGGAAGTTATGAAGAAAACTTATAATTGATGATGTATGCTGAGTGTACAAAGAGTATGCTTGTAAAACCTGTCTGGTTTTTCACTTGTAAGTAAACAGAAAAAAAAAGAAATCTAATGTCATGGTTTTGTGATTGTATACAGGAGGTATTGATAAATTATGCAAAATGTGCTGTAAAAATGGCTGTTGCCCCATGTCTAAATATTAAATATCATATAAATGAAGCATCATTAGCGTGCATTGAGTTTACTGCATATTCCACTGTTAGATAGCACGATTTTATTTTGAATGTAGAAAGTGCAATTTCTGGGAAACTGCAGTGTTTTTATATATATATGTCTGTGTATATATTTCCGGGGGGGGGAGAGGTTGCATACATGGCTTGCATATGAGGAAGTAACAGAATACAGCCACAAGATGGTGCCATCTGCTATCGTTTTGGCCAGTTGGAGCCCCGTGGTGACGTCCAAGCAAGCCTACGCGAGCCTGCAGTGCTCACACATGTGTCTTCACTTATTACTGATTAGTCTTTTCGTGACTGTGTGGGAGTGTGCAGATGGGGCTTGCTGACAGATCCTTCTGTAGCATCATTTGGTCCGGCTTCATTGTGAGACAAATCAGCACCAGGTGTGTGTATATGTGTGCTCAAGGCTATTTGTTGGTCCTTGATCCCTTTGTATGCATAATGCTAAAATGTGCTATAATAGGATATCTGACATGTGCTCAGATGTGTCTATAATGCTATGTTACTTTCATATATATATATATATATATATAAAATATAATAATATGGTATACGGTGTTGCACTATGGTAACATATGGTATAATGTGGCATGTAGCAGCACCATATAGCGTGCCCTGTTTGATCCTCCTTGTTAACTCTAATGGTGTCACTACATCAAGTAAGATTAACATAATGTTGTATTCAGTAAGACCATAAGAGCAAAGGAGAAGATGGAATTCCCCCTGTTGGCCGTCAGAAACAAATGCAATTTTAAGATGTAGAATCCTCGCCCATTTTTTATATACAGTCTATGGTATGAGACAAAATTGTGTTTAAAAAAAACGAAGAACCAAACCTTAAACTGAAGCAAAATGTAACCATCCAAAGAAAGATAGATAGATAGCACACAATGACAAAGATGAAGACTAAACTACACAGCACACCAGGGAGACACTATAAGGCACATATAAGGATGAAAGTAAAATAGGCAGTACCTGACAGCAAAACAAAGAAAGTCATGGAGACAAACAGTAAGACACCAGCAAGCAAGCATGGGGAAAAGGAAACACAATACAACTAAAGATTACAAAGGAGACTGGGAAGTCTGAAAAAAGGTGTCTGACATTCTCCACGGACAGGCTTTTCTCATTAGCTTCACCCGGCAACATCATGAAGAAAAGATTCAGTTGTTCGGCTCAACAACCATGGGTCTGAAATCTTGCTGTACTTTCACCCCTGGAGGGCTGTTCTTTAAAGCCAGGAAACTCTGAAAAAAGCTCAGAGGCGACTAATGAGAATGACAGGTTAGCACTAAAACCTTCTAAAATCAATATACAGTCCACTGACTCATATTTAGTAGATCTGAATTTACTTCATGAGTGATGGTGGAATAATGTGTTTACTGCAACATACAACAACCTAAAAGCATATCCAAATCATAGAAATAATCTGTAACAGTTTTTCATTTTAAAAAATGTTTTAGACTTTTTATACATATGTATATTACACCAACAGGGGGCATAAGAAATCCATTTTACACAGTCACACAGTTCTCTGTAGTGGAATCCTTTTGGACCTTTGACCTTAAGTATTTCTGAGTTCAAAATAGAGATCCCATAAGCTTAAATGCATTTAAACTTATAAATAACTTACTTATTATTGCATTTTTTCAGGGAGTAGTGCGAGTCTGTGTGTGTCTGTGTGTTTACCGACAGGGGGATGGATCACCTGTGTCAGCACCTGCTTAATGTTGACTCTGCAGCTGAAAAAAAACACCTGCTTCTGCCAGCTGAGTATGCCACAAAATAATTGTGTGTTGGAAAAATAGAAGACCACCTACAGTTATAATACCTACAACAAAAGAAGGATTTTATCTATTATTTTATAGGAATGAGCGATCTATACAAATGCACAGTAATGAAAAGGTTTAAAAGCTGTAATGAGAGCTGCTACGATTCATGATTTGACGGTGACACTGTCAAAACTACAGGAGGCTGAGCTGGAGGTGACGGAGTTGAAAATACTAAGGTTTTTGTTGTGAGTGACCAGGAGGGGACATGGTTAGATGCAAGTATATCAGAGAGGCATTTCAGGGTGAGTGGTTTGAAGGCAAAGTTAAGGAGGAAAGGGTTGAGATGGTTTGGACAGGTGCAGAGAACGGATAGTAGATATACTGGACAAATGGTTGAAGTTGAAGGTGCCAGGTAGATAGCCAGGAGACAGACAACCCACTGTGGTGACCCCTAAAGGGAGCAGCTGAAAGACAAAGAATATGCAAATGCACAGTAACTATATGGTTAACAGAAAACAAAAATCCTTTCCTCTGTCTACACAAGTACTATTTAATGCTTGGCTTATTGGTGTACAGTGATAGAGAATTGATCAGGCATTTGGTGTTGATGAAACCAAGCCAAAGTTACTGCTGTGAAGCACCTTAATGTTAATTTGTGCCCTAAAAAAGAATTAATTATATATATAAAAAAGCAGATGATGCTAATCAGGTACATAAAGCAAAAAGATGACTAATGTGGGGAACCTTGATCATCGCTGGTGATCTGGTACAATTGTAATCTTTCTGAGAACACCTGTTGCAAACACTACACCAGATATCGCTGAATGGGGCAAAGTGAGCACTAATGAGCCTCAAATTGATCTTTTGGAGAAAAAACTTTAAGTATAGCAGGATACTAAGCTCTTAGCTACTGCATGCTAGAACAAAAGCGTACCCAGTAAGCTTGACAGTTGGCTAATGTTCACATGAAGTATTGTCCGCTATTTAAACTTTGCATATTTGTAGAAGAAGTTCACCTTCAGCCAGAGGTTTCTCCAATTTTACCTTTATGTGCTAAGCTAAGCTAGCCAACTGCTAGCTGTAGCTTAGCTTAAATTTACACAATAATACATTTAGAAAGAAGCCTGGTTCTGTCAAATAATATCCCACAAGTTAAGTTAAGAAGCTTCATAAAGCAAAAATATGCTTTATGTCTACAATTTGTATAGTCTGTAATGCTGCAGCTCTCTGTATAAGTTCTTTCCAGAAGTGTTCATGAGAGAAAGATAGAGGACCTTAGATTATATGGTTTGATTAAGTTATGATGTGCTTCTGGCTAAAATTTTCCACAACTTGATCAAATTATGCCAGGCTCTCTCTGCCAGGTTCTTCTCTGGTGTGTACTTTATTCCCTTTATGTCTCCCCTGTTTGTTTCATGTTCCCTGTGATCTCTTTCATATTCCCCCTCTTCATACCGCTTCTCAGTGAGTCCCCCTTTGTTTTCCCCCCTCTCTGATTCTGATAGATCCCTTACATCCTTCGCTTCTAAAGATGTGTTTGTTCCCCTCTTTTGTCTTCAAAGATGTGGCCTGAATCAGATGGTGGCTTGGAAACAGTGTGCTGTTGTCCTGCATCTGTGATTCACAGAGCGGTAACTTTGATGAAAACAGAGATCTGACGAGGCGGGATCAGGCAATGTCGTTGGATGCATCAGCTTATGCAAGGTTAGACAGAGGTTACACATCCATCAAATATGCCTTGATCTCCAAAGAGGTGCTGCAAACTTTCACTTGAGATATCACTTGGAAGCACTGCTTCTTTAAGACTTTTGCTGATGGGATAAACTACCCTTGTAACACAGTGGAGGATAAGGGTGCCTAAATTGGAATACTCAAGTAAAATACAGGTATCTACCTTTAATTTTTGCATTGATTGAGTAAATGATCTTAGTTACCACTGCAGAATAGTGTAAAAGAAAGCATCTGGATTGTGATTGAATTTCCATAACCTTGTTCCTAAATTTGTTCTCTTGCTCTGAAATTCACATCTGGTAAAGTCCAGATGTCCAGATGATACACAGACACGGATGTGCTGTCTCTAACCAGTGACTGATGGTAGTGTTTTGATAAGAGACGCCAGCATTTGGACACATGAATGTGAATTGAGAAAGGGATCTTTGCTGGCAAGTGTCAGAAGATGATGTTGTAGATCATGAGCTTTAGCTGCAGCGGTTGTATATGATGCAGAAAACATATGTTAACATAACTATTAGGATAAGACATTAATCAGAGTCACCTGTTACATATGTGACAGTTCACTGCTCTACATGCATGTGGTCACACGAGTCTTGTCAACAAAAATTCTTTTGAGAATTTGAGTAGGAAAATGTAATTTTTTAGAAAGGATTCAAGATTTTGTGAGTTAAAAAAGAGAACAGGACAGCTAAGACCCTTCATATCTCATCACCTCAGATCCCCCCTGAAGACAGCTTCCCATCACTGGATGCCCAGTTTCACCCTAAGGCCATCCTTTGCTGGGCCATGACTTCTCTTACTGACAGAATAGTTTTCACTAATAGTAATGTGATCAGTCAGTGCACAGAGGGGACCGAGGCTGCCCCTGTCCCAAACGAGACATCATATCACACAGACTCTCCGTCACTTCTCTTTCACTGAGTCAACAAGGTGTAACCACTCCAGCCATCACCCGAGACAAGACTGTGGTGCAAGAAAACCAGTGTTGTTTTTTATGGGGTGACCTACAAACGCTGTGTCTCGCAAAGAAGAGGATATTCAAGGAATTTGCAAACACAATCTTTAAGATTATATAAATATCAATAAGTTTGAATCAATCATAAATAAATGATGTGACGTCTCAGGAGAAAATCAGACACTTGCATATACTGTATGCTAACAACAAATAGCATCGCTGTAGAGCAGGGGTAGGCAACTCCAGGCCTCGAGTGCCGGTGTCCTGCAGGTTTTAATCGCACCCTGGGTTAACACACCTGAATCAAATGATTAAGGAGACTTGAAGGAGGAGCTTGGCCATTTGTTATTGTTTTGGGAGATTTCATGCTGCTGTACAGTAACTTCTCATAGACTAGTGCATATCAGACCTAAATAGCAGAGGCACCAGTTGCTATAAATATACAAATATAGAGCAAGACTGGAGGAACAGAATGAAAACACAAAAGGGAATTACCTAATTAATCCAAGGAACACAGAACCCAAA